TATGATACCATTCTGGTATATTGTATGGCATATTACATAGATTTAAATACTCCTGGTTGGGATGAAAGTTTCATAGCTCAGTGTCTCTGTACTATGACAGATGCATCTACTGGTCCAACAGTAGTTTCTGCATGCAGTGTCTGATGATCCTAAAGTGAAGGAAGCTTAATTTCTATATAGCAATTGCTAGCTGGCACAGTAGTGCATATTAAGCACATTCTTCCAACATATATTTGTGAACATTTTGAAGACACTTTCACTTGGGGGAAGAATTAAATCTATATCAAATATATGTTACTGAAAACAATGTTAGTGCCATCTTTTGGGCAAGATTTTAAAGCACATAAGTCAAGAAGTTTGATGGTCTAATTCTACAGTAACCATTCCCAAGCCCATTTGTACAGCTCATGCTTTCCAAGTGAATATGCTTAAGACAAATAAAAAACCTTTACAACGCTTCTGCAGTGGTGTTATTTTGGGTTGCAGAGCAGTCAGACAGTATTGAAAAGTAGGACTTTTTAATAGTGTTGTAGTGGTGTCACTACTTCCAACTTCTGACTCATCAGTAACTATTGCATATTTCTCAAGTGGAGGTTTTTTTCCAGTAACTTGATGTTCTGAATGAGTTTATAGTGAAATGCTGAGCCAGTGTTAACTCTGAGTAGGACAACAGCTTTGATAGCATCTACATTCATTCAGTCTTTCTCTTTCCTTCACATATTCTTCAGCTTATCAGAAACTTATGCCTCTAGACTTTTGGTTCTTTTGAATACTGAGCAGAACACGTCCTAAATTAAAATATTTTAGCGGTAAAATAGAGCTATCTCTTTGGTTCATGAGGTGGAATATTGGGGGTGTGCTATAACTTCTAGAACTGGTCTTAAACAGTGGGCCATCTTAGCAAAAACGAGTATCAGTACACTAAAACTAAGACTGATGGTTATGTATTGTATTACTCTAGTGTTGTCTAAAATTTACACCATAAGCTTAATACCAGCACACAGAACTTGTTTATTCTGGGCATAAGAACAAAAAGTGAATTTTCGGTTAAGGTTCAATTAAGACCTTATAGCTGTTTTGGATTTTGTTTTATTGGCTTAATGTACATATATTTTTATGTCTCTGTAGCTCAGGGAGTCAAACAAACAGCTCAGCCTGTTTATTTACGCAATTGCATCATCACACATCTGACAAATGCGCGCGCTGCATTTACGGCATCGTCGCGCTGAGTGCATTTATTTGAACTTTCTACCATGTACATGGGATCACACATTCAGATAAACACAGCTGTGTTTACTTCAGGCTGCACAACTCCAGATTGTAGATGTACGTCTGGAGCCAGTGGACTGCACATGCACTGCACAGGATTTTCAAACTCTTGCAGCTTCATTATTTGTCAACCAACTGTCCAAAAGACATCAAAGGCTCTTATCTCATTTAGAGCTGGGTAGAGATATAAAGGGAGACCTACCCATTATGTGCTTCAAAGTAGTATAATAGTTGCTCTATACTCTATTGGGTAAAAATGTTTCACTATCTTTGTTAGGAATTAATATCCATACTCCCATTTGGCTGGACACGTACACACAAACGTCTTCATTTATATTTTATTTGAACTTGCAAACCACTCCATTGATGTCAATATTGTCACCCTAAGATTATGATGGGTCATTCACTAAGCCTCTGGTTTTGCTTTTACTATTCAGGCAAGTAACATTGCTCATGTGAATTGGAGTCAGTTGTTTAATGACTTGGCTGTTTGCAGATTTGGTTCTAAAGATATTTCTTTATTTGCAATGTGAATGAGCCAACCTATTCTTAAAGGGATAAGGAAAGAACAGCATTGTGTGGCACAGCAGTGGTTGGTGCTGTGACATTTTAAAGTTACCACTGTGTTAATTGAGGTCTTGATGATTCAAAGTCTTGAAATCAGACGTTGAGTAATCCCCTGGTGTTACTCATGTGCTTGAGTTGAGCTTAGGTGTAATTTTTTGCATTCTTCTGTAAGAATACTGGAAAAAGCATGTCTGACCCCAAAACAGAGCTCCCCACCTTCAAACTCCCCTGCGTCAAAACATGAAGAACTTCACCAAGAGCTACGCACGCTCAGGCTTTGAGTGTTAGACCCAAAGTTCACGCAGGACAGAAATTGCTAAATGTACCCAGATACTGAAATATCTATCCCACAAAAAAAAAAACGAAAAAAACCCCAAAGTTGCATTAGATAAGACCTCCTTTTAGAACATTGTCATGTGTGTTTAAAAAAAAAAAATCTGTCCTGTTTCTCACCCTAAGTCTGGCTTCTCTTTCAGTCTTAAATACCTATCAGAAGGGTTTAATAATGAATGTGTTTCTTGCACTGCAGGCCCAAGACTTATGCTCTGCTGAA